TGACGTGCAGAAATGCAGCTGTTTGTGATTTGAGGAGAAAGTATGCTTACCTGTTCAACTGCTTCTCAGGTGTTTTTTCAACGGAACAACCTTATTTACAGCAAGTTAGTGTCCAGGGTGTGCAGGATTTCCTCTTGCAACACAACAACAAGCTTTATTTGTTTATTTCTGAGCTTACGGATATTATGTTGGCTGGCGAGGACCAGTCACAGGCTGATCAGTCGAACAATCTGGCTGAAGGTCCCCAAATGTAAATCTAAATCTAAATCTAAATCTGGTTGGACGGTTGACTGCAGTTGGGGGGGCCCCGTCCCAAAGCAGCTGCTGCTTGCTGCGGCCTTCTCTCTGCTTGACGAAATGCTTTTGCCACCACAAAATTATGTTGCTGGGACGAAATGCTTTTGCCACCACACAATTATGCTGGAGAAATACGAAGTGGTACGAAGTGTTACGAAGTCAAGAAAAATAATACCCCGGTACGAAGTAATCGTGAACCTACTGTACCTTTTTTGTCTGGGTAGGGCTACTGCATGGGGGGTTTTGGGGTGGGTGGGTGAGTCAGGGGGTCCCACCTAGTTTTTTGAAATAATGTACACTACTTTTTTTCTGCTTCCTGGTTGTAACAAGGTTTCCAGGTAGTTGTCTTTTTTTTTTTGCTATTACATGAGCGGCTCCCAGCAGGGACCTGACAGCAGAAGAAGAGCCATAAGAAAGAGCGAGAACAAGAGACGCTAAAACACAACTTAAGAAAAGGACCAGCCCTACTGAGAACCCACAAAGAAAGGACAAGGCAAGGCCAAGCTACCAAAGGCACGCGGGTGAGCAGTTGCAGGAAGGAAACTAAAGCAGGAAACAACACCCCAAGCTCCACCCAAAGCAAGCGGCAGAAGGAAAACTGTTCAGACCAAGAAGGACACAAGCCCAGAAAAAAGGCAAGGCCACTGGAAGCAAGAGAGCTTTCGTTTTTGCTATTACAGGATTGTTTTTTTGTTTTTGTGTTTACATGAACGACTCTCAGCAAGAACCTGACAGTAAAAATTAGCCGAGACTGGGAAAAGAGAAACCATCTGCCCACAAACTGAACCAAGTCAAAAGGCAGACCCTACTAATACCAAGACAAGAAAGGGTGGCTGAGCCAGTTCAAAGGAGTCAGGGCATAGCAGATATAGGAAAGCCAAGAGCAAGGAAGCAGCAAGCAGAACAAAAGGTTCCCCTGAAAAAACCCAGCCTAAGAAATTGGCTCAAGCTCGCAAGGAGCAAAAGCTGAAAGTACAAACTGCAAGTAGTCTGCAGCTCATAATAGTCTGACCTTAATGGTGAGTTGGTTTGTTGGAAGGCAGACAAAAGCCCCTGGACAGTATGGCTACCCGAAAAGCATGAGTCTCTTGTCCTATGGCAAGCCAGAGCATCACAATGCAGGAGCCTAACACGGCCGAAAATCCTCGCTGTGGGCGGCTACCAACGGCTAGACTGAACCCCACATGCCCGCAAAGACCCCAAGGAACTGAGAGAGCCACACCAGCCAGGAAACACTAACCGTCCAGAGGGTGGCCCACATGAGCCCAAGGCCGGGACTGCGCAGAGTGCACAGCCCCCCGCGTGGCCAAGTCATGAAAGAACTCGTGGGGATGGTCCATAAAGGTGCCCACTGCATGAAAGCGTGCAGCAGGCTTGTTGTGAGAAAGCAGGAGAAGAAGGTACGGGAGGAAGCAGGAGAAGAAGGCTGTCAGAAGCAGGTGCAAAGGCCGGGACCATGCTGAGCCCCCCGCGTGGCCAAGGCACTGAAGGCAGACCCGCAGGGATGGTCCGCTGAAGAAGAGGAGGTAGGGGGGGTGGTAATCCGCATGGCTGAGACAAGTCTTGGACCGGCGCCCTGCTGCTGCTGCTGCTGCTGCTGCTSCTSCTGCTGCTGCTGCTGCTGGGCTCCGGGAGAGTTTGGGAAGGAGGATGTTGGGGAGGCGTGACGAGGGAGGATGKGAAAGCAGAGAGAAGGACGCTAGCGTTGCGCAGCAAACAACGCGGAGAGAGGGGGGGAAGGAATGGGTTGGCAAGGGGATGGACGCCTCCTCCAGTAAGGGAGGGAAGGAAGGATAGAGGTCTTGGCCAGGCCCTGCTGCTGCTGCTGCTGCTGAGCCCCTCAGATGACCAAGGGGAGAGAGGGAAGGATGGGAGGGTAGGAGGGGACCCGAGGGTGGCCCCCTGAAAGATTTGCCTGCTGCTGGATGGCAAGAGCAGGACCGTCAAAGGCCCCGGTGTGTGGCCCACAGAGCCCTGCTGTGCAGGGCCCTCCCGCAAGGGACCACGGTGAGAAGGGGACCGCGAGGATGGCCCCAGAGCTGTCCTTGTGTAAAAGCCTCAGGTCGCCAGACCCGTCAGAAATTGGGAGAGCCACTGCGACGTGCACAGTGGCTCTAAATTATTTTTTATTCTATTTTTTCATTCCATGGACACAACAGCAAATTAGAATTTATTAGAAGTATATCTAAAATTATAAAATACATGGTGCAACAAGCGCTGCCTTCGTCTAGTGGTTAGGACCCAAGCTTGTGGCGCTTGTAACACGGGTTCGAATCCCGTAGGCAGCACGGTGGTCCTTTTGGACCCTCCTCCATTACTTGCATGGCTTCCTTCATTGTGGTGATCCATTGTGCATGCGCCTTTGCTTTCTTGTAAAAACTAACTGGATTGTGGCTGGTTGAATCTTAGCCACTTTCCGTGATCTTTCTTGGGAGCACTGGCATTTTCGTGTGCAAGGAGGCCCTGACCTGCAGATTTCCCACCTTTGAGGGTTTTTCAAATTCGACTTCACAGATGTTTTCACATCAGATTGCTCCAGGTCTTGACCTTGGAGGCGCTAGCTGCAAATAAAAGCAGCAGGAGTAAACTCAATGTGAGAATCATTCCGCAAAGCTCATGACACTTACATGAGCACTACTTACACTCATCAGGTGGGCAAAATCAGTTCTCCAGATCACTGTCTGTCCTTTGAGAACGAGCTGTACTAGGCTGCAACTGATAATGTTCCCAACACAGTTTCCAAGTTTCTTCTCGGCTACCCAACTAGGCTCTCCGCATACACTTACAGGGTCAAGGTTGCCTGAGGAGCCATTTGCTCCAGGCACAGTAGTAGGAGTTGCGGCCTGCAAACAAAAGCAGGAATAAACTCTCTGTGAGAATCACTCCACCAAGCTCATGACACATACATCTGCACCACTGGAAAAGCTGGGCAAAATCAATTCTYCAGGTCACTTGTAGTCCTCTGGGAACGTGCTGTAAGAGGCTGCGACCAGGAATAGTTCCAACACAGTTTCCAGATTTCTGATCAGTCAGCCAACTCACCTCTCTGTATCCACTCACATGCTCAGGGTTGCCTAAGGAGCCATTTGCTCCAGGTCTTGACCTTGGAGGCGCTAGCTGCAAATAAAAGCAGCACGAGCCAAACTCTGTGTGAGAATCATTCCACAGAGCTCATGACACTTACATCAGCACCACTTACACTTAACAGCTAGGCAAAGTTAATTATCCACATCACAGTGTGTCTTTTGAGAACGAGCTGTACTAGGCCGCAACTAATATCATTCCCAACACACTTTCCAGATATCTTCTCAATAACCCAACTAGGCTCTCCGCGTACACTTACTGGGATAGGGTTGTCTGAGGAGCCATTTGCTCCAGGCACAGTAATAGGAGTTACAGCCTGCAAACAAAAGCAGCAAGAACAAACTCTGTGAGAATCATTTTGCAAACCTCATGACACCCACAACAGCACCTTTTTTTAAGCTGCGCAAAATCTTTCCTCCGCATCACTATCTGTCTTTAGAGGGAATCAAGAGCTGTACTAGGCCGCATCCAGGATCAGTTCCGGCACAATCTTCAGCATCCTGGTTATGAACAAACTCATCTTCCACATAGCTGGCACAGTCAGCCAACAGGCGCACTGCATGCACTTACTGGGGCGGGGGGGACTGACGACTGATCTGCTCCTGCTCCTAGCAGCCCAGGTGCAAGCTACAATGAAAACAACCATGAGAAAATTCTGTTCCAGAATTATGACACAAAGCAAATGACACCTGCACAAGCGCTGATTGATAGGCCGGGCAACAGCAAATTTCCCAGAAAATCTACATGCAGCCAAACTTGCACAAAAGGACACGCACACATTTGCATTTACAGCCTACAAACCGACAAAAATAAAAGCTTGCTTGAAGTACCACACCCTGATATGGGACGCCACACATCCATTCACCTCTGCTTGGTTCTGCCACACAAGGACCCCATCGCGGTTGACGGGCAAGGGATCAGCAGACACACGCAGAGCATGCTCCACATCTTGCTGTGTGTGTCTGTGTTCTTGGCTTCGGCCCTCTGCTCAGCACACATGCAGCAGTGAAAAACAAATCGCAGCACTGCTCAGTTAAGGAAACAGGGCAAGCAGATGACAAAATGCTTTCCACCTGGGAAAGCACTCTGGCAAAAAGAAAATTGAAATTGGCATTTAATGTTGGGAAATATGCTGGACAAGTCCTCATACGCAGGTGGGGGCCAAGAACAGTGCTTGCCTGGCTTCCCAGATTGCACCACTATTGCCTAGCAAATGGCGCACAGGTGACCATGCTTGCTTGCTCAAGAACAAAGTTTGCCCCCTTTTTTTTCACTCTTATGGATCAGGCTTGACCTAAAACCCACCTGAGAGCTAAAATAACAAGGATTGGGCCAGAGCAGGTGTTTTGGCACCCATTAGCCTGGACATGGTTAAAAATGATTTCCAAAAATGCCCACGGCTCAAAATTAGAGCCCCACCCTCACTCTTTTGATGCAGAAGTACCAAACAGGCCATCCTCAAGCACTTTGTAGCCTCAGATTGCAGCGGGGCATTAACTTCCCGTTTTCACACATAGCTTGGCTAACCTGACCTAGGGCCTTCATTTATCATACCACAATCCCACAAGGTGCAAAGTCAAGTC